AAGCAGATGTTATCATCTAGCTCTAGAAAAGTTTGAGGTACCCAAGCACACTATGACACTTTGCCAGGTTTAATAAACATTGCTTTGATGTGCCAACAACCCCTAACTAAACTGGTCGGTTAAATGAACTAACCTGTAGGCTACCAATGGATTGTTATCATAGTTCACCTCTCTGTGTATGGAACACTAGACTGAAGATCCCTTAGCAAATCATTCTATCCTTGCCTTGCCATGAAGTATTTGTGAAGGGCTAATTGCAAATTCATTTGTTCTGTCATTCAGAAGTTCTGTATTTTTACTGTGTGGTTGGACAAATACAATACATGCAGATGATGGACTAAATTGGTCACACTTGTAATTGTGTAAGGTCAAAAACAGGACCCAGAGCATCCATGTTGAAGGCAGGGCAGGGAAGCGAAGCTGAGAAAAGCTTGGGAAGTCAGGCTGGGGAGGGTGGGGCACATCCTGGAAGCAATGGGAGAGGAAGGTCAGAAAGTCTGTAGTCCATCCTGAGGAAGGAAAGGGAAGATTTCATCGAGATTATCTTTTTTCTCTAGCCCTCACATGTTTTGGGAAGAATCTGAATGAATAGGTGAGAAAGACTTAGTAGCTTGGCTGGGGCAGATGGCATATGTTGTAGAATTGTTAGGAGATTAAGTTGGAAAGATAATGTGGGTTTCAGTTTGGAGGACTTGAGATGCATGCAAAGAAACCTAGGCTTTATCCTAAAGGTATCAGGGAGCCACTGGATGTTCAGGATCATATTGGGGGATGAAAATTGAGCTCAAGATGGTTGCCCACTTACCCTCAAAGGGCAGTCTTTAGCATCCCTGATACGGTATTGATAGGATGGATCGCTTACGAAGTCCATTCACACACTGGCTAATTTTCTGTCTTTGGGGTTGGGGGAGGAAGGAAGGAGGTAAGTTATTGGATTTCAGATTACAAAGTGGAAGAGGAATTTCTCAACTGGATCAATCAGTAGAGACACACTCTCCCTGCTGGGTTCCAAAAGCCAGCTGTTGCCCAGGTCTGGTGCAAACTATGGAATTATAGCAACACCCATTTGAGCAGCTGGTTAGCAAGCTTCTGGGTTTTCCCTTAGACACTTAACCTTTTTATAGCTCAGCCACAAAACTTTTGCTTCAGGCCAGACCTCAGCCTGTTACTTGCTTTATTAATGTGTGTTTCTTTCCAGTATCCCTCCAAAATCTATCAGAGAGAGTAATACTTCAGCTAGGTCTCTTGCATTTCTGCAAGAGGTCTCTGCATTTCTGAATTATTTGGGTTTTTCCCCTTCCACTCCTCTGAGACCAGACTTTGGAAATGTATGTTTCAATCAATACTCTATTAAGCGGAAAGCTCAGGGAGTAGAGGATGCAAGGTAATAACGTTTTCTGGCTAATGGAGGGTTCTTTTAATAAAACTCAATTTGTTTCCGTCCTCTTTGTAGCTTCTGGTTATTAAAAAAATGTCCGAGTCCACTTTTTCTGCCCTCTGATTGTGATGAAGTGAATCCTTGCTGAAGAGGGTTCTTGTAGGCCACAGAGGAGCAGTGTGGTCATCAATAACCACAGGCCAGGGTTGGAAAATAGGATGGAAAAGCAGAAGGGTAGGGGTTAGCCACCACTGACTGTGTGGCTGCGGGGCACCATGGGAACCCTGGGCTGGCTGCCACCGTACCCCTCACTCACCCTTCACCGGCCCCCGCCCCTCACCTTACCCAGCACAGGAAGCAGGACCAGAGTCAAGGCACAATCTTTTTTCTTCCCTAATCTTCACCCAACTTTAATGAAGAAAAGGCAGACTTTGGGGAAAATGCTGTTAAGGGGACTTGTTTTTGGTTTGGTTTTGTTTTTGAGACAGTGTCTTGCTCTGTTACCCAGGCCGGAGCGCTATGGTGTGATCTTAGCTCACTGCAACCTCGACCTCCTGGGCTCAAGTGACCCTCCCACCTCAGCCCTGCCAAGTAGCTGGGACCACAGGCATGCACCACCATGCCCAGCTTAAATTTGTTTATTTTTCTTTTAGAGACGGGGGCTTCCTGTGTTGCCCAGACTGGTCTTGACTCCTAAGCTCAAGTGGTCCTCTCAACTTGGTCTCTCAAAGTGTTGGGATTACAGGCATGAGCCACTACACCCAGTCGAGGGGATTTATTTTTTCTCTTTTTTTTTTTTTTTTTTTTGAAACAGTCTTGCTCTGTTGCCCAGGCTGGAATGCAGTGGCACAGTCTCAGCTCACTGCAACCTCCACCTCCCCGGTTCAAGCAATTCTCCTGCCTCAGCCACCTGAGTAGCTGGGATTACAGGCATGCCGGCTAATTTTTATATTTTTAGTAGGGACAGGGTTTCACCATATTGGTCAGGCTGCTCTCAAATTCCTGGCCTCAAGCAATCCACTTGTCTTGGCCTCCCAAAGTGCTGGGATTACAGGCATGAGCCACTATGCCCAGCCTAAGCAACTTCTCAGGGAAATCCCGGGAGTCTAGATGTCCTGGGTCAGTGCATTAGCAAGAACATCGGCCTGTCAGCCAAGAGAGTTCATTTCTTGTCCCGACTCTGCCATGCATTACCTGTATGGCCTTGGACAAGTAGCGTCTCCTCTCTGGGCCACATTAATGTGATTATAAAGGGAGGGGGCTGGGCTGTGGTCTGCAAGTTCCCTTCCATGGACCTGTAAAATTGGGATAATAACAATGCCTTCTTTGCTCACCTCAAAGAGGTGTGGGAAGATAAAAATAAAAAAATGATTGGAAATACTTGGTAAGTTGTAAAGCCCTATGTAATTGGGAAGAGTAAGTCTCTATGGGAGACTTCCTTCAGCAGTCAGGAACTTCTTAATGCAAACCAGGTGTTGGTGCAATCAGACTTGAGACCTCCCAGCCTGGGGCGACTGTGGCTGGGGGAGGGAGAGGAGAAGGGAAGTCAGGTGGGCAGCCTGGCCTCCCAGAGTCTTCCTTCAGGCATGGCTCCTCATTCTTCCTTGGTGTCCATACACAGCAGGATGACACCCCCACCCACACCCCTACTCCCTGCCCAGGATGACACCTCCACCCCCACCCTGTTCCCAGGATGACACCCCACCCCACCCCAAGCCCAGGATGACACCTCCACCCCACTCATGCCCAAGATGACACCCCCACCCCCACCCTGTGCCCAGGATAACAGCCCTACCCCTACCCCATGCCCAGGATGACACCTCCACCCCACGCATGCCCAAGATGACACCCCCACCCCCACCCTGTGCCCAGGATAACAGCCCTACCCCTACCCCATGCCCAGGATGACAGCTCAACCCCCACCCCATGCCCAGGATGACACCCCACCCCCACCCCATGCCCAGGATGACACCCCACCACCACCCTGTGCCCAGGATGATACCCCTCACCACCCTACACCCAGAAGGACACCCCACCCCCCCCCCCCATGTCCAGGATGGCAGCCCCACCCCCACCCCGTGCCATGATGACACTCCCATCCCCACCCCATGCCCACAATGACACTCACCCCCACCCCATGCCCAGGATGACACCCCCACCCACACCCCATGCCTAGGATGACACTCCACCACCATTCTGTGCCCGGGATGATACCCTCACCACCCCATACCCAGGAGGATCCCCCCACCCACACCCCGTGCCCAGGATGACAGCCCCAACCCCATGCCCTACTCATACTCTGCTATGCTGTGAGTACCTTCCCTCTTCCTGTGATTTCTCTCCCTAGGTCCTTCATCATCCCCTTCCCAGGTGAGAAACTGAGCCACCTCCAGAGGGAGGTCAGGTGATGGGCAAAAAGTCCCCCCAGCAAGTTGGAGCCTAACTAGACCCTGGTCTGTAGTATTATGGGAAAACCATGAGCTCTGACAACAGAAGGTGCTAATCCCTGCTGGCCAATGCCTTACTCCCCAGTGGTGTGACCTTGGGCAGGCGATTTAAATTCTCTGAACCCTAGTTTCATACTTGTCAGGGAGGACTTCTGTATGCTTCTCAGGAGGTTCCAGCTCAGGTGAGCCCCCTTTTGCCCACAGTAATGATCTCAATATTACACCCTTGTTTTGGAGGATGCTGGCACTGGAAAGGTGCTTACAAAAGTGCCAGGTATGGCTGCAGCTGTCAAGTGTAGTTTTCTAGATGACTTCCATCTGAAGCTCTAAAAACCTGTCCCCTCCTCACCGTACCTGCCACTGAGCAGACCTGGTCTTTCGAACTGGGGCCTCACTTTAAGTTCACCCTGACTCCCACACAGCTTGCTCTCCACTCCCCCAGGCTTTGACCTTGAGGCTCATCTGTTCTCAGGAGCGGGTTGGGACAGAGCCACAACTCTGGGACATCATCCCTCTTCAAAGGTGCAGGGGAGTTTTCGGGAAACAGAAAACTTTGGCCAAGTGGGTTGTGGTTTGCTCCCTTGAGCTCAGGGTTTAGCTGAACCTTAAGATGAATTTGGCATGTGAGTGAAATCTCTGCTCTGTGTCCCCAGCTGCAGGACAATGGGGGCCATTTAGAACTTTGCACATGGGATGAAAACATCTGGTTCAAATAACATACACACACACACACACACACACACACACACACACACCCCAACAGGAATACATTACAATATGGACAATCATTCTAAAACCGAGTGTACTCTCCCACTTTTCAATTTGCGGGTCGTGAGAAAAAATAGGACCCAATCCCTGTCCTGGAGAAACGGTAGAGACCATCTTATCTACACTGCTGGCTTTAAAGTTAGAGAATCTGAGACCCGGAGTCACTGGTCTGAGGTCTTACAGCAAGCAAGAGACAGCAGTGAGACAGGAAGCCAGGTGGCCCAACTTCCAGACTGCAGCCTTTCCCCAGCTCCACATGGCACGGAGGAGGAGGTAGAGGGCAAAGAAAGCAGGCCCTTTAGATTCTCCTTTTAGATTTAGATTTAGGACAGAGAATCCCCTTTCGCCAAGAGATCAAAGGGCTCAGGGTACCCAGCCTGCCGACGGCTTTTTTTTTTCACGTGCAGCAAAGCCATCTGTGCCGCTAGTCTCGACGCTGCAGCCAAGAGCGAGACCCCAGAGTCTCGGAGTCTGCGGGGCGCTCCTGGAAGATGCGTTCCACCACCAGCCAGGCGGGTGGGTGAGCGGCGGCGCAGCTGCTGGCGCGGGCGGCGCGCGTGCACGGGGAAAGCGCGGCCGCGGCCAGGGACGGTGGGCGCCCGGGGCCCGGGTAGCCGACGCAGGCGAGTCTCCTAGAAGCCCCGGCAGAGGAAGTGGCGAGGACCAGAGCGGGGAAACCGGGCCGCCCCCGCCGCGGAGCGACTGCGCCTCCAGCAGCGTCCCGGGCACGCTCGCTCCCTGCAATGTGCTCGTCCTTCGCGAAGAACGTCCTGGGAGGCCCCGCCAGTGCGGTCTCGCTCTGTTTTGTTCTTTCTTCTGAATTTCTGTGGTCCTCCCTCCTGCCAGGGTCCCTTCATTAGGGTTCTGCTGCCCAAGGTCCCCGCGTGGATTTTCTCCGGGGAGGTAACTCGGCGAAGGTGTGATGCCTCCTTCCCACCTAGTGTGACGCCTCCTTCCCACCTGGCCTTTCTTCTTCGGAGAGTCCGTGGTTTCTGCTGCCCTGAGGGGACAGAGGTGTCCCTCCGTATTTACCCCCATTCTGTCTTCCCAGGAGACTGCCCCCGCGCCCCCACGACCTCATGGCCAGTGCTGTTAAAATCAAGCACACCCCGCAGCGAGTAGAGGAACGGCTGGGAAAAGCCACATTGTGTTCTTGTCCTTACCTACCCGCCCCCCAGCCCCACGGCTCTTCCCCTAAGTGTAGGACTGAATCACTGAGGGACCTCAGATTTCCCCAGCCCGGCCCGTCATCAACAGGAGGAACCGCACAGTGGTTCGGCTTGAAGCCCTCAAGCAGGTTGTGCCCGGATTCAAATCTCTGCCCTATGCTTTCTAGACATGTGACCTTGCCACGTTGTTTTATTCACATTCGTATGGAAAGCACTTACTGAGAACTTACCAGACAGCTTTCTTGGCATCGCAGACAGAGCAGTGAACAAAAGGTCCAGGTGGTGATGGAACTTCCGTTGTAGGTGGGGAGGCAGACACATAAATATCTTCATTATATGGTGATAAGTGTTAAAATGAAGACGGTAGCAGAGTGAAAGGACAAAGTGTGGCAGAGGCGTGCTATTTTAGTGAGAGTGCTCAGGGAAGGCCTCTCTCACAAGCTGACATTGGGCAGAGACCCAAAGCAAGTGGGGGAGCTGTAGCGCTCCAGGTGAGAGCATTCCAGGCAGAGGGAACAGCAAGTGCAAAGGCCCTGAGGCAGGAGTTCAAAGAACTGGAGGGCGCAGAGTGAAAGGGACAGTGGTAGGGGATGAGGTCAGAGAGGAAGTGAAGGGTGCATATTTCGTAGGGCCCTGTAGGTCACGGTTTGGGTTTTGAATTTTGTTCTGATGAGAAAGAAAGTCATTGGGGAGTCCTAACATGACCTAGCTGATACTCCGAGACAGAGCATTACTGGTAGACTATTAGGTGAATAAGAAGGTGGTTTCACTAATCCAGGTAGACAATAATGTTGGCTGGAACCTGGTGGTAGTGATGGAGATGGATTCTGGATATATTTCAGGTTGGATTGAAATGGGAGTATAAGAGCTATAGAGGAACTGAGAATAATGTGTACTTTTTTGTTTGTTTGTTTTTGTTTTTGAGACAGAGTCTCACTCTGTCACCCAGGCTGGAGTGCAGTGGCACAATCTCGGCTCACTGCAAGCTCCGCCTCCCAGGTTCATGCCATTCTCCTGCCTCAGCCTCCCAAGTAGCTGGGACCACAGGTGCCCGCCACCACGCCCGACTAATTTTAAACCCGTAGAGACGCGTTTCACCATGTTAGCTGGGATGGTCTTGATCTCCTGACCTCATGATCTGTCCGCCTCGGCCTGCCAACCTGCTGGGATTACAGGCGTGAGCCACCGCTCCTGGCTGATGTGTACATTTTTTACCTGAAGAACTGTAAGGTAAGGTGAGGGTGATGCAGGCTAGGGTAGTAGAGTGGGAAGATCAGGAGTTCCATTTTGGACATGTTTTGTTGGTGGTGCCTATTGAACATCCAAGTGGATGTGCCTCAAAGGCAGTGGGATGTGCGAATTTGGAGTTTGGAAGAGAGGTATGATTGGAGAGAGAAATTTGAGATCTCTTGGTATAGATGATGTTTGAAGCCTTGGGACTGGATGAGATGACCTAGGGTTTCAAATATTGTGTATAATGAGGGCTTCTAAATGTTTCTCTCCCGCCAGATCTCTGTCTTGAACTCTAAACTCTTATATCTGACTGCCTTCTTCAGTTCTATAGTATACTCTAGAGGAATCAAAAAACCAGAAAGAGATCTGGTATCCTCATTGTTTCCCCTGGAGAGGTCATAGTTTTTTTCTTAGAATATAAGAACTGGAAATGATCCAAGTGGCCATCTGGTCAACCTCTTCAGTTTTTACAAATAAGGAAACTGAGTTCCAAGAGAGGAAGTGACTTGCTTAAGGTCCAATTCGGAATTAAACATCAGGGCTCCAGGTGCTGTCCACAATGTCACAGCTGCCTTTCTGAAAGTAGAAAGACCAGTGCTCAACTCAAACAGGAGTCTGAACTCATTGTTCTCCTGTTTGAAATCCTTCAGTGCCTCCCTGTCATCTCCTCATGATGAAGTCCAAGTTCCTTAGGAGGATAGGTAAATCTTGCTACCTTCACCAACTGCATTTCTGCTACTCCAGGGGTCTGCCCATATTCCAAATCACCAGTGAGTTTCCTGAAGAAGCTCTGGTATTCCACGCCTCCGGACCTTCCCACAGACTCTGATCTCTGGCTAAATACCTTTCCACTGTCCCTACCAGTCTGCTGCTATTCACCCTTCAAGTTTCAGCTCAGATGTTTCATCCTTCAAGAAATAGTCCCTAAAAGCCTCCCCTGAATCTGGACCAAGTACCGCTCCTCAGTCTCTGTTGATACCCTGTTACCGTGTTTTGTCTATATTTTTAGCTTTTCTATGTCTCCAGGGCTGGGTAGAGGGTAGAGTTAATATTCAAAGGGGATGATGGAGTAAGTCACAAGTGGTAATGTTTCAGGATGAAACCAGAAAAAAATGAAACTCCCACTTCAGTGCAACCCCCAGAGAGGACTCTTTGAGTGATTGTCTTGGAATCAGGCAGGCCTGGGCTCAAGTTCCAGCTCAGCTAGTTCTTAGTTGTGTGACCCATGACTCTGTACCTGTAAAAAGAGTTAATAAAAAGACTTACTTTGTGGGATCATTGTGAGAATTAGTTGAGAGCCGTCCTGGATCAGGGTGAAGCTTAAAAGATGATAGAAGCAGTTGCTGTTATTCATGCTCAGCCCTCTTTCCTTTGGAAACACACACACACACACACACACACACACACACACACAGAGACAGACACACAAATCACAGTGCTCATTGTAGACTGGACATAATGGGGGAAACCAGCAGGTGATCACCAGAAAAGAAAGAGGGGTCAGGAGGTGGGAAGGCCAGTCTTTGTCTGCAGAAGACCTGAATTCACTAGCATTTCCTCCAAAGGGCAGCAATGTTACTTTCAAGCACACAACCTGAACACAACTAGCAAAGCTTTGCCAAGCAGAGCCTGGAGAACTGGCTTTAGGAAGAGGTGACCTTGATTTCCCAGGAAGGCCTCAACTGTAAATAAATAGCTGCTTCCAAAGCACCCTTTCCCTCCCCCTTCCTGTGCTCTGCCTGTCTCCTCCCCTCTATCTCCACCTTTCACTCTTCCACATCACACTCTGCGCACCTCTTATCGCTTGGCTCCCTGGAATGCTTCCTGTTATCTTACCCTGTTGGAGGCCTGAGTTGTCATTAATGCTGACAGAGCCATCGGAGGGAGGGCTTTGGCTTCCAGGAGAGAAGGCTGTAACTGTGGAAAGGAGGCCCCATGAGAGGCCCATGTGGAGTCTTCCCACACTCTCCCCTTCCCACACCCAGCCACCTGCTCAGACACCTGCTGAGTGCACCTGTGGACCTGGACCCTAGTGTTCTCCCTGCTCTGATAGGGCATCTCCCGAATTGAGCTCATCTTTAACGCTGGCCATCTCTAGCTGGCCTTTGGCTTTCAGTGGTATCTCCTGGACAATAGCCCTGGCCCAGATCCCACTTCAGTCTCATTAATCTGAACTGAGAACTGACAGCTTCTGAGGAGTCCCACCTCCACTGCCAGCCCCAGGCAGGATGGGCCAGCCACCGCCAGTCTGCAGGGCTCAGTGCAGCCTCTTCTGTGAAGACTTCTTCATACTTTTGAGTTCTTGCTGAATCCCTGTCTTTGAACTCTAAAGCCTTACCCTTTTCTGTCATAAGAACAATCTGTAGTCATCAATTGAGTCCTCAGTCATAGACTTGAGAAATCAAACTTTTTTTTTTGCATAGAGTAGTGAATAAGAAGGCATTCTTTATAGTCACCAAATTCTGATTCTGCTGAGAAATGTAGGCAAATGACTTCACCTCTCTGGGCCTCAGTTTCTGCATATGTAAAAGGGGCTACAGGGCCGGGCATGGTGGCTCACGCCTGTAATCCCAGCACTTTGGGAGGCTGAGGTGGGTGGATCACGAGGTCAGGAGTTCAAGACTAGCCTGGCCAAGATGGTGAAACTCTGTCTCTACTAAAAATACAAAAAAATTAGCCTGGCGTGGTGGTGGGCGCCTGTAATCCCAGCTACTCAGGAGGCTGAGGCAGGAGAATCACTTGAACGCGGGAGGCGGAGGTTGCAGTGAGCCAAGATCACATCACTGCACTCCAACCTGGGAGACGGAGCGAGACTCCATCTCAAAAAAATAAAAGGCTACAAATAACCATTTTTATGGGGCTACTTATGAGGATTAAATAGGTTATTGCACCACATACCTAGCTGAGAGCCTGCTACATAATAAGTGATCAGTAAATGGCAGTGTTGTTATTATTTAGAGGGGCACAGATTAAGCATGTGCATTCTAGGGCCAGACGACTGGCTTTAACAGTGTTTCACTACTTACTCTCTTTGGGATCTTGGGCAAACTTAACCTTTGTAAGCGTTGGTGTCCTTATCTGTGAAATAAAACTAATAAGGTCTATATTTTTTTACTTTTCAACTTTTAGGTTCAAGGGATATATATGCAGGTTTGTTACATAGGTAAATTGCGTGTCATAGGGGTTTGGTGTAATTTTATCACCCAAGTAATCAGCATAGTACCTGATAGGTAGTTTTTCAGTCCTCATCCTCCTCCCATCCTTTACTCTCAAGTAGGCCCTAGTGTCTATCATTCTCTTCTTTGTGTTCCTGTGTACTCAATGTTTAGGTCCTACTTATAAGTGAGAACATGTGGTATCTGGTTTACTGTACTTGCATTAATTCACTTAGGATAATCGCCTCAGCAAAGGACATGATTTTATTCTTTTTTATGGCTGCGTAGTATTCCATGGTGTGTATGTACCACATTTTGTTTATTCAGTCCACCACTGATGGGCATCTAGGTTGATTTCATGTCTTTGCTGTTGTGAATAGTGCTGAGATAAACATATGTGTGCATGTGTCTTTATAAAAGAACGATTTCTATTCCTTTGGGAATATACCCAGAAATGGGATTGCTGGGTTGAATGGTAGTTCTATTTTTAGTTCTTTAAGAAATCTCCAGACTGCTTTCCACTGAAAGCAGCTGAACTAATTTACATTCCCACTGTCAGTGTATAAGAGTTCACTTTTCGATCGAGACCATCCTGGCTAACATGGTGAAACCCCGTCTCTACTAAAAATACAAAAAAAAAAAA